CATCATAGGCTTTTGGCCTCCCTGAGCTACATGGTAATTGGATCATAGCCCTAGTTCCTGGAGTGACCTTACCCTGCTGTGGTTTTTATCAGCTGTAAATTATGCATGAGCCTCTTGTTAAAAGACTGGCATTGTAAGAGAACCCATATCAGTCCCATTAAGGAGTGCACAGGCTGGGAAGCTCCATGGGGCTATTGTGTTGCAGTGTCTCTCGCTCATTGAGGAAGGGAAATACCAGCAGAACCGGAATGCCCAGATCAGTCAATCCCATGGCCCCTCTTTACCCATCCTGTCTGGAGGAAGTGGTTGGATCCCATTCCTACTCTCCATCACTAATGTTGCAGTTTAAAGACTCTCTTTTTGTTAGATATATTTGAAGCAAATTCGATACGTTATGGATACATTGTAGACTGAGACTTTGAAATCTTTAGATTGATTTGAAGGTAATTACATTGAGATTGAAGGCAAATTTGGAGACGAGGATATGGAGATTGAGACTGTGTTAATATATTATTTTTCCCTGGTTGACAGGAGTGTCTTGAAGTTGGAACTAAGTTCCTTTCGAGCCTGGCTATTTTTGGAGTGTGTCGTTAATTTGTTTAGACATGCTATAATTGGGGGCAGCCACAACTCCTGCAATTATTCCTGGGAAAATATGCAGAGCTTCAAAACTCGGGAACTCTAGAACCCAACAAGTTTATGTGCTGTCTCCTGCCTTAGGCAATTACCTTCAAGGACAACATCTTAAATGTCATGAACCTTCACAAGCTGCTGAACTGGAACACTGTATATATGCAACAATACCTTATGCCACACAAATGGAATTTAACGTGAATGATTCCAATACAGTTTGACATTAGCATGGAGGCAGTGTGAACAAATATTTAATGAGTTGTCACTATTTCTATAGAGAATCTTCAGTATTCAGTGAAATATCTTTTCGCTGAGTTTGATGCAATGCATTCTGGGTTTGTCTTCCCTCCAAAAGATAGATGTGATTCTGAAGGCTGAATAATATTGTGTCCTACCTTTTACATTTAAATGGTAAATGGACTGCATTTATATAGCACTTTCACAGACCCAATGGCCACCAAAACGCTTTATATTCTGCCTCACATTCACCCATTCATTCACTGATTCATACACCGACGGCGGTGTCAGCCATGCAAGGCACCATTGACACTTGGTGACACACCTCGACACAAATTTACATTTATTCATTTAGCTGACGCTTTTATCCAAAGCGACTTACAATTGCTAAATGTGTCAAAGGTCGCACGCCTCTAGAGCAACTAGGGGTTAAGTGTCTTGCTCAGGGACAAATTGGTGTCTCACAGTGTCTCTCACACCAAAGGCATGTGTCTTACCCACTGCGCCATCACCACCCCTCCTACCTTTTGGAAAGAGCTTTTGCATTTCATGTGCCTTCAATGCTTTTAAAAGCCAGGCAGCCGAATTCACTTAATTAAGCTATTAATATTTAGAGTCGGAGTCTTAAGAGCATTAGACTTAAAACTAATGCTTCCACAGCCATTATATTTTTATATTATTATATTAGCCATTACATATACAGCCTTGGATTATTCCCATTTCTGTTTGGACTCACTGTATTGTTTCTCTCTCATCTGTTTAAGTTTACCGCTTATCATGTGAGGTCCGCTTTTAGACTGTAGATGTGGTGAGAAACGTGCATTAAGTTGTAAAATCGCGTTCTACATCATGTGTAGGGATTACACGACTACATCATGTCGCCTATCCCAGCATGTCACTGGATACTTCCATGTCAAACAGTTGGCCATTATACTCTTTAATGAGGAACAGATAGGATAAATAGTCCAATAAAAGCAGGAGAGCAGTCTAGACTGACTCGATGAACTGTGACATCCTTCTTTGGTTTAATGCATCCAAACTACTCTGGTACTTGGTTGCGTTAATACTTCTAAAGCAGCAGTTCTCGGCTCCTAAAAATATTTAGGTTTCTTATAAAAACCATGGCAAGAAAAGGAGATTGTTTTCTTTATTTCTCCTGCGAAGTAACAATCCTCCCCTGGACCATTCTAAATGAGGTTAAACCTCTGCCTGAAACACTTTAGCAATCAATAAATAATGGGGAAGTTGGCCGGCTTGTAAGTGTTTTGTTGAATATCTAGCTGCAATGTTTTAAAGCCAAGTTTTTTTTTTTTTACACTTGTGTGTTTTGGCTGAAATCTCACTCAGCTGTCATTAAGTCCCCCAGCTATCTCAAATGTTTCTATGAACTTTTTCCCTGTGTAATCTGTCAGTGTGGAGCTGGAGTTCCCTTTTGTACAGATGATTTGGTTTAGAGGGTGATTATGTGTCTTTTTGAAACATAACACATGTTGTATTTTAATTTTGTCCACTTTTTTTAGTTTGCTCTGTAAATAAACCACAGTTCACTTTAAGTATATCCATGTCTTTGAGGCTTTCAGTCTCATTATTTCCTCCTCCTTCCTGTCTTCTTTCAGACTTAAGCACATTTAATTGCTCGACTCTCATGGTTCATTATCACAGTTTGGTCCTTGCTATATTTGTGGAGTCTTTGCTATTACAGAAGGGGTGTCTTTTGAAAAGTACACATCTAATGAGCAGCTTACCTAACAATTATTCATAAGTGATTCAATAATGGTTTTGGAACCACAAAATTAAGATTACAAATTAGTAACCTTGTTCAAAATAGACTTGAACAGTAGATGCAGCATTTCTCCTATTTTGCGGCATAATGGAGGTGCCCGTGCCATCAGTCACAGTCGTGAGAGACTGGAAAAGAAAAAAATGGCAGGAACAATCTGTCTGCAAAACATAGCGCTGGTGAAAATTGATTAGCGATGCCGTTGCAGCTTCGTCAAAGCTGCTGGCGGTTGGCAAACCATCTCAGGCACGGTCTTCTGATTGAATGAGATTAATTTGTACAGGAGTGAATGATGTTTGTCTTTTACCCATCCCCCGTTATTTTCTTTAATTCTGTGTGGGGAGAACATATTTGGCAGAAAACATCAGCCGTGGACCGAAGGGAGTACGTGTGGGTAAAATGACGAAATGCAGCTGAAATGGAAAGTGCGTACACGCGTGCCTCTTCTGGCAGCGCACGGAGGGTGGAGGAGGAATTGAGACGTACGACTTTCCACTGTTTTTAGTATTCCATGCTGTTTCCCGTGGAGAGTCGAACTGAAATGTAGAGCCAGTGAGCTGGATGTCTCCAAAAGGAGAAGCCGTAATGAGTGAGTGTGAGGCCTTGAATGTTGTCAGTTTGATTTATCCTTAGTGCTATTTATCAGTCATCAGCTCCTGCTGAAGTCTTCACGGCACGTAATGGAGAAGTTAATTACATTTCGAAGCCTTGACGTGAATCAACATTCAGAGGTCGAGTTAGACAACATCTTGCAAGTGCTAAAAAAGGAAGCACGAGTGTCGTCTCAAGTCACTCACTCATAGAGACTGTCTACTCTGGTTCTAGAGATATGTGATAAAAATAGCAGCTTTTCCACTTGAAATGAATCTGAGATTATCCACCATAGAGTGTATAACACATTAACCATATCATTTGGTTAAATGTTTGCTAAGTTTTTTAGAATTAAGTATGACTTGATCACTGATGTCCCTAAGTACACTAATGCGTAAGTTTGTCTTTTAATTTTTTTTAATTACTGCTGTGTGCTGACAGAGAAAAGGATCATTGCAAAAATGAACAACTGTTTCCATAATTTTTTAAAACACTGTCAGTTTTTAGTAAAAAATTTGAAAGTCAATCCTTGTCTTTAAAAACGTTTGCTGATAATTCACTCACCCCAATGGCATCCAAGATGTCCACGTCTTTCTTTCTTCAGTTGAAAAGAAATTAAGGTATTTGATGAAAACATTGCAAGATTTTCTCCATATAATGAACTTCACTGGGAACCAAACGGTCCAAATGAGAGTTTCAGTGAAGCTTCAAAGGGCTTTAAACGACACCAGGCGATGAATAAGGGTCTTATCTAGGACCATTCGAGTCATGACTCGAAAAAACAAGTTTGAACAGGAGAGTCACGTACACTCATCACAGAACAGAGCAAGGCGAGCATTTGTGCTTCTAAAACTTAAACTTTTTTATTTATTTTTAAATGAGCGATCGTTTCGCTTGATAAGACCCTTATTCATCATCTGGTGTCGTTTAAAGCCCTTTGAAGCTGCACTAAAACTCTCATTTGGACCTTGAACCGTTTGGTTCCCATTGAAGTCCATTATATGGAGAAAATCCAGTAATGTTTTCATTTGAAGAGTTCAGATGCAAAAGCCTCTAAGTGCCATTTAAAATTTTCTTCTAGAATGATCATTTTTATCAAGCTTGTATATTTAAGTTCAGTGATTTCACTTAAATGGCAATGATATTACCTAATAATTGTTATTTAAGTGAAATTACTGAACTTAAATATACAAGTTTGATAAAAAATCATCATTCAAGAAGAAAATTTCAAATGGCACTTAGAGGCTTTTGCACCTGGACTCTTCATTTCTTTTCAACTGAAGGCTGATATGGGGGTGAGTAAATTATCAGCAAAAGTTTTTTTTTTTTTAAAGTGAACTACTCTTTTAAGGGCACCTTTTCTTTTCTTTTTTTTCCTGCTATCAGTTCATTAACAAGGTCAAATATGGATGAATACATTTGATTTTGTTTTGTTCTTGTAGCTTTTACTGTTCCAGTACTTAGCCCAGTTATCAGCATTTGAATAACAGAAATAGCAGCTCTTGTGTGCTAATCGAACAAAAAATCGTGTTTGAAAAGGTTCCAGAGCGACTGAATTAGTCATGGCAACAGCAAGTTTTACAATCACGAGAGCAAATGCGTTAAGAGAAATGTATTGCTCTGGGCAACGTTATCCAAGTCCCAGTGCCAAGTGGGATTTGCAGAAGAAAAGTTTTTTATAATGCATCCATAAAATCTCTGTTAAATGATAGAATGCAAGTGTATTTAAAGTCTATTGTTTCTATTTTCTCTCTCTCAGGCCCAGACTGCATGCACAGAGGAAGTTTGCACAGTCTCAACCCAACTCCCCCAGCACCACTCCAGTGAAGATGGCCGACCCCTCTCTGCCCACGCCGCTCACACATATCACGTTCCTCTCCAAACGCAAACCCAAGACAGAAGACTTCCTCACCTTCATATGCCTTCGAGGTATTTCCTCATTTTTCAGTTCCCTTCCTCACAGAGTTAAAATAGTTTGACTTTGTTATTTATTTTAAATTTTCTTTTGTATTTTTGGTTTTTAATTTAGTCTGTAGGTGCATTAGGTTGATGATTTTTTTTTTTTTTTTTAAATAGTTTCAGGATTAGTTTTCCTCCTCTAGTAACTGCTAACTATGATGACGAACAACACTTTAGAAACTGCACTAAATGCAAAGTTAAAGATTTAACACTGCACACTACAGTCCAAGTGAACAATTAAAAGTGTGATACGTGTGTAATTGCTGCTACATATAGCAGTTAACTGTAACTACCATCATTATAGGGCATCCAGCCGCATGGACTGCATCCTGTCAGAGGAACAACTAGTTGCTGAATTTGCCAAGTTACGGCATGCCATTTTGGAAAATATTCAGGAGTTGTTGTTGAGGCTGTTTATACACTTTGTTTCGTGGCAGTTCAGATTAACTAAAGAAGACTAATGTGTTTTGTGTTAGTTTTGCAATGTTTTACGAAGTAAGCTGAGCCATTGTATTGCATTGGCTTTTCACAGTTACTTATTGTGGTTTTGACACTGTAGGTGCGTTCCATTCGACAAGGTCCCTACGCAGTGTTCACTGCTCCCTACTCCCTGAACACAGTATATCAGTTGAAGTGGGCTTCACTGACTTCCTGTGAAGTGATGTATCGATGTTCCCTTATTCCCTATGCCGTTTGCAGTGCCCTTCGAACTGAACATGTTCGTTCCCTTCGAATTGGAATCTCACTTAAGATGGCGAAATACCCTGTGAAAGTCCACTTCGCAGTCCACTAACGGTCGAATGGAACGCACCTTGTCAGATTTACCTGCCCCTGAGTGTCACGTGCGATATGGCAATAGTCAGAATTCAAGCATGGGAAATTAGTTAAATCAAACCACTCAGCATTGATTAAAGATAAAAATGAAATTCTTGTTTTCTCCTTTTGGCTACTTTAGTTTTTAGTTATTTCATTGCTAGTTTTTGTCTTTTTTTCTTGATAAACTTTCCTACAGCCTTCACCTAACACCTCTGGCATGCTCACCTGGTGCCCAGGAACCGTAGCACTGGGGTCATGGCAGGGCTGGCATCTAAACTCCAATGCTGCACAAATGTTGACTCTCACAGCTTGGAGGTATCAACGCCAACTGTTTCATGTTGAAAATGGTGTTATCAGCCTGAAGTGTCATGAACACACACTTTTACAAACACACCCACCTCTGTGAACCAGGCTATGCCTTTCACAAGAGATTATGGGTACCTCTCGCTTTCAAGGTCGGTACACAGTGTTTCTATAGAGTGAATCTCAAATATTAGTTTTACCACAGAAACAGGTATAACTAAAGGCTCCAGGGTAGAATAGAGCATCATAGCCAATTCATGTTGAATCTGAGTTTAGAGAAAGATATTTCATTTAAATATTTCATTTAAAGCTTTTCACATTTTTACAGCACAAACCCCCACAGCATGCAAGCATTGAAAATAAGTAACAAGAAAATAAATAAATAATAATGATAAATGCCTATATATGCATATTTATAAGTACATGTACACACACAAACATACAATACCTACATGTATATCTATTCTAGATAGAGACACATATATTAAAAGTATGTTTAAAATTAAATGCCAATACCAGTGATTACCCAATTATGGAAATAAAGTGAGTTATTGCACCCTGCAAGACGCTATATAATCTACAGTTCCACACTTCTTAGAACATATGTCCAACATGTTCAATTCCATGATCCCCTTCCAGAAATTCTATAAAGGACTTCCAAATCTGCAAAAATCTCTTCGGTTTATCAGCAATTTCGTATCTGATATTTTCCATATGTAACACACTGCTACCCTCTGCAATCCACGTCTCAAATTTAGGTATACATCAACAAAATTGCCTTCTTAGCTATTGTCATCCCATATTGCGTAGTCTGGATTTGATTAAGGTTGTAGGTCATTAAAGAAGGGGCCCGGCCTGATATTGCAAAATTGGGATTGGGATCATGAGGAAAATCAGTCTTAAGTACCTTTGAGTAAAAACAAAAGACCTCAGACCAGGTTGTACATATTTTTGGGCAGAACCAGAATAAATCAGCCAATATACCCTCATTGGACTTGCACTTGATACACAAATGCGAGACAGGGGGATATATAGAATGTAATTTTGTACAAGAGTAGTGCGATCCATGCACCTCTTTGTATTCTGCTTTATCTTTAATAAAAGGGAGTATTTCAGTGTTAACAGCATCCTGATGAGTCCTGGCAATCATAACTCGCGGCCTGTTGTTCACGATGGGGCCAATGCGGTGAGCAACGGTCAACCTTTACACCACGCGGAAAGTTAGTTTCGCCCAGTAGCAAAGGCAACAGGCCAGATTTTTGCTCAGCGTTTTCATCTTGATATTTCGTCTGCAGGATCTGGTCTCTAAGTCTGTTACCTTGGTCTTCTGAGACGTGTTCTTCTGCGATAGATTGGAGCAAAGCTGCCCCAAATGTGAAATGCGGCCTTCATAGTCAGTGCTAGCCTCCTCCAGATCAGCGATACAGGATGTGTTGGCCGACAGTGTTGATTTCACTCCTGATAGCGAAGTCTCCAAGTCGTTAAACCGGGCAGTCATGAAAAAGTCCATCTTTCTAATGGCCGAAAGAATAGCCCTACTCTCTTAGAAGAAAAGGTTCTATATAGAACCTTAAAAGGTATTTGGAACCCCTAAGGTTCTATACACTCTTAAAAAAAGGGTTCCTCTGGGTTCTATATAGAACCCTGGGTTTCCGTACTTGGCCAATAGAACTTTTTACCAAAAAAAAAAATGGTTCTATATAGAACCATTTTGGAGTTCCATATATGAAGCGGGGGATGGAACCATTTCTGGTTCTAAATAGAACCATTTCTTCTAAGAGTGTAGGTGAAGGTTCGTCCTCACCCCCCCCAATGACTGAGAGACATTGGTGTCAATGTCCACATCATTAACGAAGTTGTTACCTTGACCGCAAGTGTTTGTTTTAGCTAGCTTGGACTTGCTGGATTGCCTTCCACTGTTTTGTTTTGTTTTTTGACACTTTTGTGTCTGCCCTTAGCTCTGTGAGTAGACTTTGTGTGGCCCTTTTTATTTTACATTAATATTTAACTTTAAATTCATTTACTAGTATCAGACCTTAATGACCAAAAATGAAAAAATTCTCTCTCGTTTCATGCGTGTCCTGAGATGTGTAAAATGTAGGAAAAGTGGAAGCAGAAAGTCAAAGACTTGCTGGACTTTGAGTTTATTCTCTGGCTGGAGATTTTACAGGATAATAATAACTTAAACATTGTGGGAGAGGGTTTAGACTGCTTTATTTCCCTATAAACTTTCCTTCCTCACCGGGATTTCAAAATAGCAACCAGAACTATCCTCTAACAGTGTTTTCCAAAAAACAAGACATTCATTAGCCAAAATATATGGTTTTAAACATTCACTGCTTCTGTAAAAGTAGCCTTTTAATCACTTGGGCACGGTTTTTGGTACAGTGTGAAATGTTATCTAGTTGTATCAGATGCGTTATGCCCTGTGTAAGCGGTGTGGTCAGCTCAGGTCTCCTCAGAATTGGCCGTAACTTGACTTGGCCTGGTGTTGGAGTTCATGGAGAGGCCAAATCCACGTGTTGAGGGTGTTGCATATCAGCCTCAACTCTCAGTGACTCTCTTAGCAGTTTTTTCCACAGTGGCAATTAGATGATGGGCTGCACCTCAATAATTGTGCACCAGCCATGACATTATTTATAGATGATACTCCCCTGCTGAAGTGTGTATATTTGCGTGTGTGGAGCGTAATGTTGTCCGAATGGTATTACAATGCAGTGGTGTTATGAGAAGTAAAGAGTTGTCGTAACGCCATGTGTCGTTTTATCCTTCAAAGAACCCCTGACTTTCTCTTTACTTTGGCATGTCTGTTCCAGCCATCAGGAGAGGCGGTCGTAAGCAGGCGGTGTTGATCTTTCAGGGGTGTGGAGGTAGAGAGGATAGGTAAATACAGATCAATGGATTCTGGGTAAATATAGGCAGGGTCAAATGGGCAGTCCTACAATAGCTCAGTTATGGCTGACTGCCAGTGAAACGCGCTCTTATCTGGCATAGAAAAAGTATTTAACCGGACCGCTGGGAGCGACTGCTGTGTAAAAGGTGATGTGTCTGACGGTCTTCTTAAAAGAAAGTTTGAGTCTTGAACTGGTGTAATTTATAGCCTTTTGAAACGACATAAGCATGGTTTAGTTTTTTTAAATGGATTTTTGTATGGATCCGTATGCATTAAATATGTGCTCTGATGCAATGTAAAGTACAACACAATGCAGGAATCATGCTCTGACGTAACCGTTTTCTGATTTCACACCTGATGAGTGTTTCATTGCATGGAGAAAACACTTTTTGAGACTCCGTGTTTTGCATAGTGAACTATTCAAAAGATTCACTTACGTTAAGGACAATGCAAAATATGCCTTAAACACTCTCAGAACAAAAGGTACAAAAGCTGTCACTGGGGCTGTACCTTTTCAAAAGGTACACTTTTGTACCCAAAGACTGCATATTGGTACCTCAGTGGTACATATTAGCACCTAAAATGTACATATTAGCACCTGAAATGTAAATATTAACACCGAAAATGTACATATTAGTACCTAAAATGTACATATTAGCTCCTAAAATGTACATGTTACCACATAAAATGTACATATTACCACCTAAAATGTACATATTACCTCCTAAAATGGACATATTAGCTCATGAAATGGACATATTAGCACCTAAAATGTATATATTACCTCATGAAATGGACATATTAGCACCTGAAATGTACATATTAACACCTAAAATGGACATATTAGCTCATGAAATGTACATATTAGTACATAAAATGTACATATTAGGACCTAAAATGAACATATCAGCACCTAAAATGTACATATTAACACTCAATGTACATATTAACACCTAAA